GACGTCATATATCAACTAATAAAATCCGCTCGGCAATGTAAGCCACCTTAAAAGTAAAAAAAAAAAAAAAAAATAATTTGTTAGATATAAGATTTAATAATCTAATATAGTAGTTAGATTATCAGATCACTATACAATAGGTCTGAGATTCAAATTCTACTGTCAATAAATTTGAATAATTTCTTAAACCTTGTAATATATTACAATAAACCTTGTTTATTTCTGAGAATATATCTATAAAGTTATACCAAATTAATTAGAACTTAGAAATATGATATAATATTATACAAATAAATCTTGATAGGATATATAAGTAAGAAATCTGCATAGTAGAAATTCTGAGTTAGTGAAGTAGTATAATCTTCTAACAGAACTACATTAGCTAAAGTTTAATCTGAAAAAAAAACTTAGTTTAATAAAAGTAGAAAGTTTCAAGGTTTTTAGGTGAAGAGTAACTGAGACTAGTTAGATACTAGAAAAGGAATAAGTTGACTAACTAGTAGAGAACTATAGTAAAATCTAAAATTATACAAATATTTATAAGAATCTAAATTAGATAAATCTGTAAAATGAATACAGACTACTCTAGTAGATTTGTTTTGAGGTTAACTAGCTTTGCAATACTAGCAATGCATCTGATATAATATATTCTAAGAAAACCTAAACTATTCTGAATAAATAGATCTATAACAAGCTAGTTAACTTAAACAGTTAGATATTGCAATAATATTAAATTAGATCTGTATAGGTTAATGAACAGAGTGTTTAAATAGATAACTCATAGATAAGTTACAGGTATGGTAGTATAGTGTAAAACTAATCAGATGATCAAATACTTATATAGCAGACTACTTAAAATAGACAATAACTAAAGTTATATGTATAGGTTGTTGTATACGTTTCATATAATTACAAACAGTAAGGATTATTAATATATAATCCTATTTGCAACTCTAATAAAATTTCTTTAGCAATGTAAGCCATCTTTAAAAAAAATAAAAAATAATAATAATTTGTTAGATACTTTGATATTATTAGTTTAATTCATAATAAATTACATCAATCTGTATAATAAAACAATTGAAGTAAATATAAAATATAGTGATAGAAAATATTATACTAAATTTGAATATTTTCTAAAAAAAGGTTTTCTTAAACAGAACTTCAAAAGTTAATTATAAAATCAAAATTCAAAACCAATGATTACTGTTATTCTCATTCCTCTAATAAAATATTTATATTTGTTATACCCAAGACATTTAGTATATAACTATCATATAGCAATTACACAAAAAAAAAAAAAAAAAAGCAATTACAATCACACATTAATATCAGTTCTATACAAGAAATCATTCTCTGATGCAAGAAACATATATAATTACTTAAAAACATTCCAGATATTGTTAATCATCTATTATTTTTGGAATTATTATTATTAATCATTATCTCTAATTTATTTTTGATATATAAAGTTCAAAAAAAAAATTTTATACTTTATAACTTGTCTTTATATCAAAATTTACTATTACAGTATTTCTATAAAAATTATATACAAAATTTTTAGAAAAAATTGTATCAATCTTAGCCAATTAGATATGCTCGTGGTCCTCGGGTAACAAAGGTTGATTTTCTAAAGTTTCTTTTGGTGGAACAGTGAAACAAGGTGGTGGACGTATTACATCGTTAAAGATAAAGGTTCCAGCGATGAGAACAACAAATCCTAAATTACAAATAAAAAATAATAATAAAATCGATACAATTATTAATTGGTGAAAATCTCACATGCGAACTAAAAAAAAGAAAGCAAACTTACCAAAGACTTGTAACCAAGAAAATATTTCCCATCCAAGAAACAAAGAAACAATCCAAATAAAAACAATTCTGCTAGTATCAATAGTAGACCTAGCAGTGGCACTAATAAGACGAGTAACACTTAATCCAAAGAAATTGAAAAATGCTATAGAAAAACATATTGCAATGCCAGAAATCCAAATTTGTCTGAAACTAATAATTTGGCTAAATCCGACTGAAATGTCAAAATATCCACCAGGATGTGTTATACCAAATAAGAAATATAATACAATCATTCCAAAAATTACTGTAGTTAACCCAAATATTCCTTCTAACCCTACTGCCATAACAGGTTTAACTCGATATTTTTCCATAATTTTTTCTTCTATGACGAATTGCGATGCTGTGAACAATTGTGCAAATATAACGAAGAAAACACCAACCATCGCTTCTATTGAAATATCTGTGCTTTCAATAGATGTCGTACCGATTGGTGTTGCAAGTTTTACGGGCGGAAATAGTATACTACTCATTCCAACAATTGATACACCTAATACTACAAGAAACAATGAAAACCAGTGATATGGATGCAAGCGTCGACGAAGAAATAATACAGAGAAGGTGCCAGTAAATAGCACAACCGCTCCACGTAACATTTGATAGACAGATGCAGATGTATAAATAAGGCCGACATTCATAAACTATATAAAAATAAAATTAGAATATGGTCAATATTTGGATGTTTTAAGCATACTTCCAAATTATACATACTGTAGTGCCCATAATATCACATAATGTAGGCAACAAGAACAAATATACTCTCCAACCTGACATTTCTTGTGTAGGACCAAGAAATTCATCGTCGATCTTTATGGGTGAACTATCAGATCCACCAACAACTGTTAACGTTTCGGAATCATTAGCTGATGTGGCTTCGGCTTCTAAAGGTACATATACTGTATCCCTGTTTATTTTTTCTTGACGACGTTCCCAGTATAAAATGATATAAGCAGCAGCAAAACACATAGTTTCACCAATAAACATATTCAAAGTTTGCCACACGGGCTGTTCGAAATATTCGTGTTTTGAGGGATCCGGATCGTCACAGTTAGAAACACATTGCATGTCTTGGAGTTTGTTCAGAATAGTGTTGCATACACCACTGACCAACATACCAGTAACAAGGAACTGTGTTGTTACGGCCATTATAATGTTAATAATCAAGGTAGAAGGTTTGGTAAAACAAAATGACTAATGACTAACGCTAAATAATGAAGGATGACGCCCTCACGAGATCAAACCTAAAAAGGGGATCGTCTAAAGCCAGGTTCGTTAGGGTTAGTTTATTTGATGCATTTAGTAGTTTATTTATATATGGATATCAAGAATGGAACTTATGCAATATGTAGATCTATATGTAGGCTTTAACCGACCCCCTAAAAAGGAAAAACTTTTTATATCGTACAGATTACCTGTTACTCAGATTACCTGTTACTTTAAACTGTATCTACGATTGTAAGTAATTAAAAAAATTTTATCATCGCTATCATTTCAAACCTTTTATTATAAAATATGCCACCACCACTTCCAAACGACGTTATCCAACATGTGCTAGCTAACCTTCCCATTAAACAGATTTATTTGCTACGAGGTGTAAACCGAGATTGGTATTCTATCTATGAGCACGCTATTAAACAGCATCTTTCTATTTCTGATTCTAAGATTCTAGTTAGGCTCGGTCCGTCTTCAAAAGCTAAAGATCCCAACTTTTCTATTGCATTAGATTGTGTTGCTTTCGACCCTGAGACTAGGATTTTTACCTTTAAACCTATAGTTAATTCAAAACCGATTTATTGTAATCCACGTCACCTTCGTCAAGTTAAAGTCTTGTATACTGAATGGATAGGAATTGATGCAAAAATTCATAATGGTATAGATATTTCATCAAATTATATATCACAAGTTGGAGGTTACGATCTATCTGACCTAGAAATTAGTAAATATGCAAGAATTAAATTTCATCATGATTATGTTGAAGCAGTTCAAAAATATTATTACTTAGAAGAAACACCCAGTATTGGTAGAGAAATTTCTACCTATCTAGGAGATTGCGATATGATTTTAAAATGTCATCTTAAAGATTCAGTTGTTTTGTCCGAAGAAAACATTCCTGATATAGAGCATTTTGATAACCAATCTCATATTTCCTCTTTCAGTGTTGATTTCATTCAAGTTCATACATCTTGGCTTATTGGCGGAACTACTACCAGAATCCTTCCAACTAGTTTCCATTCAAAAATTTATCCTTTCCGATATTCTTTTCTTAACAATATTACTTTACAAAAAGATATTCAAAAATATAATCCTTATTCTCCAAAAGTCATCAGATGGATACTTTCAGGCTGCATGATCGATGATCAACAGACTATTGAACTCTGTCAATATCTCAATGAAACAAAAGGTGATTTTACAATTCGCGATAAATTTCAACGGGAATTGGAAAAAAGAAATATAGAAAAACAAATTATGTGGAAATATTCTCTTGTAGCAAGATTTTTTTGTGATCCTGAGAACTCTTCAGATACTTTCGAGAGTATATTAGATAAAGTAGTTCGTGCTGAAGAAGACGAAAAAGAAAAAGCAAGAAAGTTTAATCCCAATTTAACAAAGTTGTATTAAGTTGCAAATTCATAATATTTTCGATTTTTTTAATAAATAAATCTTTATAGGTGGTTTGAATGATCAGTTTAATACATATTAGTGAAATTTCTAAATTTTATAAAAATAATAAATGCAAGAATCGTTCAAACAGTGCGGAAGATCCTAAAAACTTAACGGCAATTTTCAACGTTAACTGTAAAATAAAGATAATTAACATAACATCGAAAAAATTAATTCTTAAATAAAAATTAGCACTCCTATATAATTGAGTTATTCCGGTATCTGCAAGAAATAAATTTACCGACATTAACGAATAATTTATAGGGATAATTTGAGTAGAGTATCTGGTCCAAATTACACCAGTAGCCATAAGAGCTGTTAATTTATCAATGCAAAGAATAAAATACTACGTATAAAAAAAAAAAAAAAAGTATACAGTATGTTGGGAATATTAAGGAAAAGAATTAAAAATGTATACGTAAGACTGATAATTTTTCTGTAGATCGCAATGACCAATGTCTAATTATAAATGCAGTTATATGTATATGTTACTAACTAGTGTTGGCTTGACCAGACCGGTTTGACCATTTGACCAGACCAATTTGACCAATTTGACCGGTCCAGTCAAAGGATTATTATAAATATAACGATTTTTTTTTTAGAAACAATCAACCCTTTCTTGTAAATTATTTTTACAAAAATATCGAAGAAAATAACTTTTGAAAAACTCTTTCTGATGATCGTCAAAACAATAATCAAAGAAAAGAAAAAAACAAAATTTATAAACATTATCAAATATAACTAAATAACTAAATATAA